TTTAATGTGGGTTTATGTTTGGTTAAGTGTAACTGTCAAACTACTGTAATACTTCAAAACTGTTTTATTTATTTATGGTCAAAAATGGTCATATGCCAAAACATTGCATGCCAAAAATACTCACTCTGCCATTGAATTCTGGTGTTCCAGTCATGTCCATAGATGTATAAAATAAGGCACTTGCAGACTGTCTATAAAAATTTGTGAAACAGTGGCTTGCTCTCAGAAACTCAGTGAAATCCAGCGTCAGGGCTCGCAAAATTTCAAAATCTCTGGTAGCCCTTCGGGCAGACACTCTTCAGTTTTTGGTAGACCAAAATAAATTTAAGTAGCCTGGAGAAAAAAAAAAAGAGGACAATTTTTTGATTGACTTAAAAAATTGTTAAAACACAAATTACAACAACTGTAAAAAAAATACAATCATCAACTCAAATATTTGGTCCTAATTGAACAGAAATTTCTATGAACTTGTAAGAACTGTGTAGGACATGAATCAGTCTGTATCAGATCCTGAATCTGACATTTCCACTGAAGTCACGGGTAAGAGGTAAGTGGAACCAAGATCTAGGCCATTTGCTTTGTTTGCAAAGGCTGCTAAATTTTGCCAAAGGTAGTTCACTCTTTGCAACGTCACGCTGTTCTAAACAGCTTTTTCTTCTGCGTTTCTTCTGGACTTCTTGTTGTGCTTGGTTTATTTTTAGTAGTTTTTTTGCAATTGGCGTTTGTTCTGGGAAAGATAATGCAGACTGAGCAATAATGCATTTCTTGGATTTCTCATGGGTTCTAATGGGGTCTTTCTTAAAATTACTGGTCCCAGTAACAAAGGTGCTTGTCAACTCAGAAATCGAGGGAAACTCAAGACACACAGAACATTATGTTATTTAGCTTGTCATATTCCAGCCACAGAAATTCTTTTGTCCATGAAACCAAAAAAGCTGCGCTTTTGTTTTTGCCTCATAGTCTGATTTGTAATAACTTTTCCGTTTTGTGGTCAGCTTTTCTTTGGCTGTCCCTTCTTCACCCTGACCTGTCTTATTTGGCTCTGCAGAACTAAAATACCTGCGTAAATCCATCTGCTTTTACACAGGCACTTGCATAATGATCAGCGATTCTCTGCGCAATCAACCTGCATCACATGTTTAAGCTTGCTGCGGGAGATTTCACTTGTCACGTTTGAATAGTAAGCTAATGAGTGATAAGACAATGTCAGAGGAATTGGTGCGCAATTAATCTGTCACTCACCAGTCAGTAGCTGCCGCTCTCTATTCACAGTTTGCGCCATCGCAAAGTGAAAGTGAAGCAAAAAACAAGCGGAAATTCAAACGCGATTTCAATATGTCACATACTGACAGCTACGTTTGTGAAAGAATGCAAAAGCATTGACATATTTTTTTCTTCCTATGACAGGCTGACGGGCAGGGCTGAGATGGATTTTGGTAGCCCGATCAGAAAAATCGCTAGCCCGATTTTGCGAGCCCTGAGCGTGGTACCATGATAGGATGCCATCTGTGCAGCAAGTCCAGTTGTGAAATTTCTTCATTACTAAATATTCCAACTTCACGTGGCCTTCAGATTAGCTCAAGAAGAGTTTACAGAGAGCGTCATGGACTGGGTTTCCAGGAGCGAGCAGTTGCATCCAAGCCTCATGTCACCAAGTACAGTCCAGTGCATCAGATACAGTG